AGATAGGTGGGCTTTTATACCTTCTTTGGGCTTTGTATTTGAGGTTCTTCCTGTTCCTGTGGCTTTGTACTTGAGGTTCTTCCTGTTCCTGTGGCATGTACTTTGACCTGAGCTTGAGTGTGCCCTTTTGGTATTCTAATGGTGGTTGGTTAATCCTATTGTGTCCTAAAGGTCGTGTCTTTAGATTTTGGGTGGGGGAATGTAGATTTTAGTGATCTTTGTCTTTCTAATCCCATCAGCTCCAAGCTTCCTGGCCCCAGTCTTCCTGAGTGAATCACCAAATCTGCATTTCTAAAAGCTGGTTTCTACTTGTGGCAGAGAGACTTGGAGGGGAATGGTTTCTGCCTAAGATTTTTCTATTATGCCTTTGGGGAAAATATAATATTCTGCCTTTTTAATATCCCCTTAAATGTTTCCTTTTCTTGGGGGGGGGGTGCTGACTTCCTACAATAGGAACTACAGTCTTGTCTGTAACCGCATCCTACTTTATATTGAGATTGAGTTCAGGATTATAAGGGAAGAAAGTCCAGAAGGTTTTATTTTGCCTATCCTAACCCTAAAACAGAAGCCATTTCTCTACTCCAACAGTCTGCTAGGTGACTGGGAGAAAGTGTTAGCACTCTTTGTTTCCCAGTATTCAGACAACTGACTTGTTGACTACTGAGAAAACAGCTTTGGGCCTCCAAGGTCTCATTGCCTGCACAGGGATCAAATAAACCAATTATGATGCATATGAGACAGGACACTGAAAATGAGACTGTATATTTTTCTCTCCCTGTAAAACGCACAACACAAGTAAAATAGAACTATTTTTGTCCTTTTTATTCTTCTGTAGTTATTCTTGGGTTCTTATTATGTAATTATTTTTCTTAGTGTTTTTGGATTTGCTTACTATCTTTTATTGAACCAGGATTGCTTTTTTATTTATAGATAGTGCACATAAACATAGATAGCACCACATCAGGTTAATTAGAAGATAAATGTGATATAAAAAGATTTTGCACAATGCTACTAAATGATCAGAATTCATCTGTGAAGACGAACTGGTCAAGAACAGTTTTCAAGCAAATCATGACAATGTCACTAGTGATCCTGTAATTATTTCTTAAAAATTATTATCAAACAAAAACAATTAAACCGAAGAACTTAGTTCATAAATAAATTGGCCTGAATCCAGATATTCCAAATTTAGTACATTGGGATAACGAGTAATTTATTTTTCTGAAATTTATAAATAATCAAACCTGCAGTTTATTAGTTTGATAAAAGCCTAGTCTTATAGTAACCACAGACAGACAGAATATAACATAGAAACCATTCTTATTTATTATACTGGGCTGTTTTAATTACATATGAATTATTTATAATTATTTTAGCAGATATTTGTCGTGTAATACAGTAAAATAATGAATTGCCAAAATCTTTTTATGGAGTGACTTTTGCATGTCAAATTATTGTGAAGACATCTCACTAAGAAGAAATACCTTTCCATAATCTGAAGATATTGCTTTCCAATGGAAGGGTAGTAATTTAAGTTGACAAATGCAAGAAGTTCATATCCTCCATACTTTGTTTATGTTTACATGTGTGTCTCTGTGTATACACTTATTATCTTCAGAGTTATTTTATTTTAACCTATGACTTTGCTGCCAACATCTGGGAACATTGGTTTTGTCCCATGTAAGTCTGTAAAATGCACATTGCTGCCTATTGAAATATGTGTTTGAACATATAGCTATTACCTATCAAAGTTTCATAAAGTAAGCTCTGAAAAAAACCAATCTACGTGTTTATAGGTATATCTAGAAATGGTCTTTTATGGTTGCTAGATTTCTGGATCTATGAAAATACGATCTGAGCTCGTTCCTGTCGTTTCCAATCCTCTTGTAGAACAGTTATGCCTAACTCCACTGAAATAAATACAAAAAAACTAACTCCTTTGGTTTAATTGGATCAGCCAGGGTTCTAGAAGCTTTGTAAATATTTCCAATTCTGAGGGATTCAGTAACACCACTTCCATCTCCTCAAAGGAAGCCAAAAGAAATTGTGGGGTATCTAAAAGAGAGATCTCTTACACTTTTTAGTAGCTTCCCAAATCATTATTTTTTTCCAAGCAGTTCTCATAGAATTTCTCTTTAGCAAGAATTATTTAGATAGTGGAATAGAATAGAGCTGGAAGGGACCTTGGAGGTCTTCTAGTCCAGCCCCCTGTTCAAGCAGGAGAATCTATACCATTTCAGACAAGTGACTGTCTAGCCTCTCTTTAAAAGTCTCCAGTGATGGAGCACCCACGACTTCTGGTTAATTGTCCTCACTATCAGGAAGTTTCTCCTTAATTCCAGGTTGCTTCTCTTTCATCAGTTTCCAGCCATTGTTTCTTGATCTGCCCTCTGGTGCTTTGGAGAATAACGTGACTCCCTCTTCTTTGTGGCAGTCCCTTAAATACTGGAATACTGCTATCATGTCTCCCCTATTTCTTCTTTTCTTTAGACTAGCCAAACCCAAGTCCCGCAGCCGTTCTTCGTATGTTTTAGTCTCCAGGCCTAAGAAAAAGTTGTAAGAATTCCAGCAACTGAACAAGTTACTATTTAGAACCAATATATCTCTATGTATATTACATTACATAAAATACTCTAACTTTCTTTCTAATAGTGACTGTTTTTATGGCTGAGATTAGGTAGACCACTTTACCAATGACAAGAAAATTCGTATTTCCAACACATCAGATCAAGATTGGCAGATGACGTGGCTATTGTTCCTTCCACCATTTCATGAATACTGTCAGTGTAACTGCTCCACATCATAAAAAGTATAAGTAGTCCTTGAGTTATGAACATTTCAGTATTTCCAATGCTAAGCAAGACAGTTGTTAAGTGAGTTTTGCCCCATTTTATGACCTTTCTCACCATAGTTGTTAAGTTAATAACATGGTTGTTAAGTAAATTTGGCTTCCCCATTGCCTTTGTTTGTCAGAAGGTCACAAAAAGTGATCACATGACCCCAGGGCACTGCATCCATCATAAATACATGCCAGTTGCCAAGTATCCAAATTTTGATCAAATCATCATGGGGACCCTGCAGTAATCGTAAATGTGAGAAAGCGTCATAAGTAACTTTTTTCAGTGCTGTTATAACTTTGAATGGTCACTAAATTAATAGTTTGTAAATTGAGGACTACCTGTATTACCCTAGTCACGTCCACCATATCATTCTTTGTATCAAGAACATTAAGACGTATACAATTTGTATTGTTCCTCAAAATTCCCCTACCATTTGTACTTTTTAAAATGGATAAGAGAAGGTCTCCTATAGTATTTCAAAGGCACTAAAGCACCATCTATGGCATCACAGGCAGCCTGTAACACTTACTGTAGTGATATGATTATTGCCTGCAGGGAAAGTTTCTGAACTTTCTCTTCAGGAATCTCTGCTACAATAAGATATAATTTGAAAGTATAATCTGGGCTTAAATGTCCTCTGAGAAAAACAATGTGTAACAAATCAGTCATCCTGAAAATTAGACCTTAGGGTGATAATGAGTCTTTGGAAACGTTGTATCTTTTCTTTCCATATCCATGCATTGGTGGCTTGTTTTCTCAGTGTCGGAGAAAATTCTAACCATCAATTATTAGGTGCTGACAATGCTACCTATTAGACAAGCAGTACCATTCTGTTCCCTTTGTTGACTTTATTGCATTTATATCCGTTTAGTGTTATAAAAGTCTGTAGCTCTCTTGCACAAAGGCACTATTACACTGGTTCCATTCCAACAGGTTTGACTTTTTTCCTTGTTGTTTCACTGTTCTAAAGCCTGATGATGAAATAAGACCAATCATGGAAATGTTGTAGTTGCCCAATAGATTCTGTTTGCAGCTTCTGCTAAAGCAAGGAAACTGCTTTGGCTCATTAGATCTCTAAGATCGGTACTTTTGTATCTCTGCTCCAGGTAATGCTTTTTACCACTTTTAGTCTTACCTTTCATCCTATCTACTGCCCCGAGGGTCTACTCTGAGCCCTTCATCTAAGGGGCATTTGTAAAAACTATTATTATCCTTGTAGTCAAATTGTTTCTTTTAAATTGTTTCTAGTATTGTCATATTTACATTCAGGGGCAGAATAAATGCATACTTTAATAAAGCACCACTGTCTCCCAGAAAACAATTGTCACCACCATCAGCTATACTTGCTACTCAATCAGATTTGTGATATACAGAGACAAAAATGAAAAAGAAAAAGTTGTTCGTCTATAACTATCACTCTTTGAGTTGTAATTTGTGTATTCATATAATCCACCTTCTTGCCCATCTTTATATACCTATTTGGTGATATTTCTTGTTCCAAAATATTTATAATAGCTAGGGAACTATGAGTACGTGGTAGGATTTTCTTTGTGAATATGTTATGTAGGTCTATTTCCTGTCCCAAATCACCTATTCTATAGCAGATTTCTGATGGAACTATTATGCGCTTGTAGAATGTATGTATGTATATATAGATGGATGGATGGATGGATGGATTGATGGATAAACACATGGATGACCACTTGAAAACCACAGTTATAGTCAGTAACTTTCTCATTTATAGGTATAAATCTTACTCATATCAATCTTACATCATGGTGCACTATTTAATATTTTCTCAGTGATCAGCATTATTTTTAGATTCTCCCTTTGATAATCATTAGCTGAAACTATGACATTGCTGGACAGGGTTTTGGAGCCATGATGAATGATTTAACAGAATAACTACTATTGGGAGGTTTGCCTGTTCCTTTACCTTTTACATTTTGGGAAAAACAAAGAAATAGTTACAGTGTCTTTTTTATTATTTTATTTAATTTCAAAGTCTCTAACAAAATAATTCTTAAAGCTATCTGAGTTTTTTTAATTTAAAGAAAGATGTCAAAAGCATTTCATTATATTAAATTTATCATTTTAATGAGAAATTGAAAAGTGTTTATAAAATTTTCTGAAATAATGCATATTTCTATAATTTTGCAGGAATTTGCTGCACTTACAAAAGAACTAAATGCATGCAGGGAACAACTACTGGAAAAAGAAGAAGAAATTTCAGAATTGAAAGCTGAAAGGAATAATACAAGAGTAAGTAGAAAACTCAATTTTATATACCATTAACAGAGGACTTTTACTAATAGAGCGGAAGTTATTGAAGAAATGTAATAACAGCTATATTAGATCTGTGGAGGTCTTGTCAGAGCAAACATATTCTACGTTAATGATATTGTATGCTATTGTACTCTCTTTTTGAAAATTCAGATTTTTATATTTTTGAGATTAATTCTATTTTCAGGTTTATCTTTTCGAGCCATTTTTAAAATAGATTTTACTGAACAGTTTCAAGATCACCTGGTTTTTAATAGTTGCCCAGAGATTACTCAGTCTGGTTTTTGACCAATATATGAAATTGAATAGGAGACACCTGAATATTGATTGAGAAAATTTTGGCTGTTAATCTACTGACCTCACAAGACCTTTTAGTGATCACTGATTATGAAACATTTTGAACTCATAAGTGGTAAGTGTTCCCAGATAATTCTTCAAGATATCCAACTGTTCATAGCAGGTAAATTCCAGAAAATGTTAATATACAATGGCTTATCTATCAGAAATCTTTCAAAATAAGTGCTACAAAATTAACATTTCCCTCCTTTTTGCTCATTTTATATTCAAGATGCCAGAATTCTATATGAAATTTAGAACCAAATGATTATGAATACAATTATGAAACCCATTTAATTTGTGGTAATAATGACAACAGAGAATCGCATTAAGTAATAAATAGATATCTTCTGTTCCAACAGCTCAGCCATTAAGCAAAATGGCAGAGAGAGAGAGAGAGAGATCTCTAGTTGCTTCAGTCTCATTCAGATAAAGTTTTCTCATATGGTGGCCTGGGCCTAATTTATTTTATTTTTCCTTTTGTTTGCCCCTCTCCCAGGACTAAGAAATTACTTAGACAAGCAATCTTCCTGATGCGTTTTTCTCTATAGCTTAATATATCCCAAAAAGTGCTAAAGACAAGCTCACTGACCTTAATTAGTTGATTAGAACCCTCAGGCTGGCTAGTACTGTTGCCTGAAATTAACCATATCTTAATCAGTTTCTCACTGAAGGCTTTTGTTGTCAGCTACACAAAAATTAATCATAAATGTGTGCACTGGTCAGAATTTTTTTTTTAATTTCCATTTATTACTGTTGTATTTATGAATAATCACTAAACAAGGCAGTTGCTAACTGAGGAGTGGCTTGTAGTGGCTGAGGTGCTTGACTGATAGAAGGGAAATCTAGGTTCTAATCTTCCCGTAGGAATGGAAGCCATATGGATGACTTCGACTGTGAAGTCAAAACTCATCTATCTATCATCCTTCATTGACTAGACCAGCATAGTAGATCATGATGCATTCCCATCAGTAAACAGTCCTTTTTTTCAAGGTCCTGCTGATTTTGATTCAAGCTGATGCTTATTGGTTAAATATTAACGTAAGCATAATATACTTTCACCTGTATTTATATACTGATTGTTTTTAGTTTATTTCAATTCTGTCTCAATTAACAATATATTCCTATTATTAGATTTTTTTTAGTTTATCACTCCAGGTATTGTGATATAGTGAACTGGACTAGGGCCAGAGAGACTCAGATTCAAGTCCTCTGTCATCCATGGACATCATTGAGAGTCATTCTCTCTCAATCCAACCTAACTCATAAGATTTTTATGAGGGAAAGTTGAAAGAAGTGCTAGGTACCCTGTCTTGAGCTCATGCAGGAAATATGGGATATAAACCTAACTAATAAATACATAAATAACAAATAAAAATGAAGCTGTTTATTCCAAGAGTTCCAATAATTATTATGTACAGTTTATTTCCTGCTATTTTGTTTACACAGGAGCTTGGGGGGGGGGAAAGTGTTATAAGGTTTCTAATATTGGAAAACTTGCCACTTTTGTTACGATTTTCTTTTAGGTTTTAGAAATACAGTGGCACTGAGTTTTAGGTACTAATGAACTACCTTTTTTAATGTTGAAACAGCTGTTACTGGAACATTTGGAGTGCCTTGTTTCAAGACATGAAAGGTCACTGAGAATGACAGTGGTGAAACGCCAAGCACAGTCTCCCTCAGGAGTTTCCAGTGAAGTTGAAGTTCTGAAAGCATTGAAATCTTTGTTTGAGCACCATAAGGCTTTAGATGAAAAGGTACAGTATGGAAATAAATGCTTGCTTACGTTGCATATTCTCTCTTTGCTTCCCCTAGTCTGAAGATTTGCTCCTCATTCTATTGGCATATGTGAAGATGATCATTTCAGGACGTTATTCCCCACGTCATCTTTTTGTTGTTGTTGTTGTTGTTGTTGTTGTTGTTCTTGAAATAGCAATAGAGGCAAAAACTATATGTTAAAATGTTGTGATGATCGTGTCAAGCCTTTATATTGAACACATGTGTTATGCCCTTCAGTGAAGTCAGTGCCAGACCATTCAGAAGAACTAACTTTCTTGAGGATTTGTATATTCCCCATTTTTTTTGTTCTAAAATAGCAAACATTGAACTATTGATACATTTTTATGATTTTTGAAGTTCATTTATTAATTCCCAAAGCAGACATCAGATTTCATCAGCATATAAAAGCAGAGTCTTTTCAGATTATCAGATGAGGCATGTATTTCTCTTTGCAATTTTTTGAAAGAAAGTCCATATTTTCCAACATCTCAGATATTTGAAACATTTTTTTTCATTATAATGATGAGGAAAAGAATTAAAATCCAACCTTAATTGTATACATCATGATCTGTGTTCATCGTATTCCTCTGATTAACAATCCTGTGAGGAAGACTGATCTGAGATAGACTATTTTACCTTAAACTGAATTCCACTTAATTAAATATTTGCTTGAAGTGCTTTGTTCTTCTGTATTAATATATTTTGTTAAGAGCCTGCCTTCCATTGACCTAAAATCAAAGAGCTAATGAAGAGTATCAAGTTGTTAGTTTATTATCAACATTTAAAAAATACCTTTTACAGCTGCAATATATGAAATATCAGATTGTACATGGCATGGTGCCTAGTGAGGAAATTAGATTTTAACTTTAATAGTATGACTAGCAGACCTATATATTTGAAAGACTTTGTTTTTAATGCTAATTTACTACAAAAGAGTCACAATAAGAAAGTAAATGATAGGATAATATTTCTCCACTTTCCATGTTGAAGCATTGATTAAAATAAGTTTTGCTTTCCACTTCTGATGTGCATTGGAGATAGCAGATACATCACATGCACAGAAATCTCTATTCTTAACAATTAGGGAATCCTAACGAATAAAACTAACCTTCATATGAACAAAATGCCCAAAGCTTTGAGCCCCAAATGCAATATCCATAGAGGCGATTCCACTCTGTAGTGTTCAAGCTGGATCAAACTGTCAGAGTTTGTAACTACTTCCAAACGAGTCAATTAATCGCAGTTAATTTGTTTTACTATATACTAGTAAAACTCTTGTTATGACATTGAACTGTGTAAAACAGTTCATAATTCAGGCATCAATTTTTGAATCAAGATAACTTCAAAAGTGCTAATTTATAGAATGTGTCCAAAATCCAGGATTTATGACTCCCAGGGAATGACAGTTGTGGCTGCTTCGGAGTGTTGGCTGCTGCTGGTCTGGGATGTCTAGTTCTCTTTTAAATGAATTATATGGAAATAATAGTTACTAGGTATACCAATAGATTCCTGGGTTTTTTGTTTTTTTTTTGAGAAATGAATATTAATGATTACATATAAATTTAGAATGCTATCAAAACACATTTACTGTTTCTTTTATTTGAAATGATACTAAACTATTGAAAATAATATTATTCCGCCATTCAAACAATATTATAAAGTCCCAGGAAACCTTTACGTTTCCATAGTGATTAAATTTAATCTTTGTAATCAGAATTTACATAATGCATTATTGCTGGAAATGGTCTTTGGAGACCAGTATTTTTTATAATACTGGTGACAAATAGATTTAAGGAATTAGATCTGATAGATAGAGTGCCTGAAGAACTATGGACGGAGGTTCACAACATTGTACAAGAGGTAGCAACTAAAACCATACCAAAGAAAAAGAAATGCAAGAAAGCAAAATGGCTGTCTGAGGAAGCTTTGCAAATAGCTGAGGAAAGAAGGGAAGCTAAAGGCAAGGGAGAAAGAGAAAGATACACCCAATTGAATGCAGATTTCCAGAAAATAGCTAGAAGAGATAAGAATGCCCTCTTAAATGAACAGTGCAAAGAAATAGAAGAAAACAATAGTATAGGGAGAACCAGAGACCTCTTCAAGAAAATTGGAGATATGAAGGGAACGTTTCATGCAAAGATGGGCATGATAAAGGACCAAAATGGCAGGGACCTAACAGAGGCAGAAGAGATTAAAAAGAGGTGCAAAATGACACAGAAGAAATATACAAGAACAAGCTTAGCATCCCTGATAATCATGATGACGTGGTCACTGACCTTGAGCCAGATATCCTAGAATGTGAAGTGAAATGGGCCTTAGGAAAGCTGAGCAACAACAAAGCTAGTGGAGGTGACAGTATTCCAGCTGCGCTATTCAAAATCTTAAAAGACGATGCAGTAAAAGTGCTACACTCAATTTGCCAGCAAATTTGGAAAACTCAACAGTGGCCACAGGATATTCCAATTCCAAAGAAAGGCAATGCCAAAGAATGTTCAAACTATCGCTCCATTGCACTCATTTCACATGCAAGTAAAGTTATGCTTAAAACCCTACAAGCTAGATTCCAGCAGTATATGGATCGAAAACTTCCAGAAGTATAGGCAGGATTTCGAAGAGGCAGAGGAACTAGAGATTAAATTGCCAACATACGCTGGATCATGGAGAAAGCTAGGGAGTTCCAGAAAAACATCTACTTCTGCTTCATTGACTATGCTAAAGCCTTTGATTGTGTGGTTCACAAAAAATTGTGGCAAGTTCTTAAGTACCAGACCATCTTATTTGTCTCTTGAGAAACCTATATGCAGGTCAAGAAGCAGCAGTGAGAACTGGACACAGAACCACTGATTGGTTCAAAATTGGGAAAGCAGTCCGACAAGGCTTTTATTCTGTCACCCTGCTTATTTAACTTATATGCAGAGCACATCATGAGAAAGGCAGGGCTAGATGAATCAAAATTATTAAGATTGCCGGGAGAAATATCAACAACCTAAGATATGCAGATGATACCACTCTAATGGCAGAAAGTGAAGAGGAACTAAAGAGCCTCTTGATGCGGGTGAAGAACGAGAGTGCAAAACAAAGAGAAGGACAAGGGAAGACATGATAGCAGTATTCCAATATCTCAGGGACTGCCACAAAGAAGAGGGAGTCAAGCTATTCTCCAAAGCGTCTGAGGGCAGGACAAGAAACAACGGATGGAAACTAATCAAGGAGAGAAGCAACCTAGAACTAAGGAGAAACTTCCTGACAGTTAGAACAATTTACCAATGGAACAACCTGCCTCCAGAAGTGGTGAATGGTCCAAGAACGGAAGTTTTTAAGAAGAGACTGGACAGCCATCTGTCCAAAATGGTGTAGGGTTTCCTGCCTGAGCAGGGGGTTGGACTCAATGACCTTCAAGGTCCCTTCCAACTTTATTATTATTATTATTATTATTATTATTATTATTATTATTATTATTATTATTATTATTATTATTAAAAATTGGCTTGAAACTCAACATTAAGAAAACCAAGATCATGGCTTCCGGCCCTCTGAATTCCTGGCAAATAGATGGGGAAGAAATGGAGGTAGTGACAGATTTTATCTTCTTGGGCTCCAAGATCACCACAGATGGGGACTGCAGCCAAGAAATTAAAAGACGCTTGCTCCTGGGGAGGAAAGCTATGGCAAATCTAGACAGCATACTAAAAAGCAGAGACATCACCCTGCCAACAAAAGTATGTATAGTCAAGGCCATGGTTTTCCCAGTTGCAATGTATGGCTGTGAAAGTTGGAACATAAGAAAGGCTGAGAGCAAAAATATTGAGGTCTTTGAACTATGGTGCTGGAGAAGACTCCTGCGAGTCCCCTGGACTGCAAGGCGATCAAACCGGTCAGTCCTAGAGGAGATCAACCCTGACTGCTCTTTAGAAGGCCAGATCCAGAAGTTGAAATTTAAGTACTTTGACCACCTAATGAGAAGGAAGGACTCCCTGGAGAAGAGCCTAATGCTGGGAAAGATTGAGGGCAATAGAAGAAGGGGACAACAGAGAATGAGGTGGCTGGATGGAGTCACTGAAGCAGTAGGCGTGAGCTTCAATGGACTCCAAAATGGTAGAGGACAGGAAGGCCTGGAGGAATGTTGTCCATGGGGTCACAATGGGTCGGACACGACTTTGCAACTAACAACAACAAATGTAGTGTGTTCTTATAGCACATAATAAATAAACCATTAGCATGAACATTCAACAAAGAATTTATTTTAGTAAGTAAAAATCTCTCCCTCCCCCAACCATATAATAACTTTTCAGCATTCTTTTTAATACAGGATAGAGACTGAAAGAGTTTTCTTACCTATTAACAAAATAAGTGACAGCCATTGTAACTTTAGTACATTGATTGCTTAGTTAATTCTATATATACCAACCTCCTAGAAGTAGACTGAATTCAGCAGACTGAATTGCTTGATGCCTAATAATATACCAAGCTGCATAACCCAAAGCTAAATTGATTTGTCATTGTTTCAGGAAAAAGGTATTATTCTGATGTTACATTGACAATTATATAAAATTGATAAAACTTGATAAGAAGCTCAATTTGCAATTTATAATTCTTTATAAAAATGATACTTTTCAGATTATGAAAATGAAATGCTTATTATTGTCAAGACAAAGCAGTCCCTGGTCTTCATAGAAAAGTTAGAGCGTGTAATTTTTGTTAGATGAAAGTGAAATGTCTACATTTAGGAGGAAAGAATAAAAATAAATATTAAAAAATATTTTGCTCATTCACTGTGATATTGATTTAGGTTAAATTGATCTGGGCACATGTAAGCCAGTTTACATCCACTTCTGTTTTCCAACTTGATTGGATATAGATAAGTATTTGCTTGCATTTTGAACAACATTGTTGTTTACTTGATCGTAAGAACCATGGTGATGCAGTAGTTAGAATGCAGTATTGCAGACTGATTCAACTCACTGCCAGGAGTTCGATCCTTCCGAGGTCGATAAAATGAGAAGCCAGATTGTTGGGGACAATATGCTGACTCTGTAAACTGCTAAGAGAGGGCTGTAAAGTGCTATGGAATGGCATATAAGTCTAAATGCTAGTGCTATTGCTATTACAGTATCTCAGCTAGGATTCCCAAGTTAGTTTTCTTTTCTGAATAAGTCAAACATCATTATCCAGTGCTGAAGTTGGTTTCTTCTGAGAAGTCATGTTTGAAACTAATATCTTTTTCCAATTTGTACATTTTGAAAAATCATTAATTGAAAATGGAAGCAAACACTTCCAATCTCCTTATAGTCACAATGGAAGAGAAGAGAAGAGAAGAGAAGAGGGTGAATGTCCTTCAAAAAATGATGGTATAGTACTGGTGTGAACAATGCAAAGTCATAGGCAAAAAAACCAAGCCCATTTTTTGTAATCTTCAAAGCTTGTTCCAAACAGCATTCCTCAAAAGTAATAATAGAGTTTTTATGGAGACAATGAAAATTGTTCTATAAATCCTTTTTTTAAGAAAAAGGAAATAATCCCACAAAATTTATGGAAGGGAAAAAAGAGAAACTTTTGGTTCAGCCTGTTTGTGTAATGTGGTCTGGTAACAGAAATTGATTTTTAAAAAAACTACACTTCAGGCACCTGGATATAGATTGATGGTCCACTATAGTAGAAATCAACTATCTTTCTATGTATTAGTCACCTTTTCAGTGTGGGATTCAGCCAGTTCTCACCAGTTTGGTGTGAATGGACTTCCAGAATGGACTCCCAGAATGGACTTCCAGAAGTGGCATCCACACAGAGAACTAGTTGTTCACATATTTGAATCCCACCACTGCATCTTTTGTTCTGCTTTTCCTCCAGGACTTCCTATACATTTCTTTCTTCAATTTTACCCCACAACAATACCTTTTATGGTTAGTTACAAAGAGTATATCTCAGCCAAAGATACAGAGTTGCTATTTTATTGTTATCATGTTTTTTTTATGACTTGTGACTTTATACTTATTGCAGTCCTGCTTTTCCTTGTGTTGAGAATAAGCTAGAATATTAGCAATGTATTTCCAAAACCAACCTCCGAAGTGGAAATAAAGATGAGTAGAAAGATTCCCTAGAGAAAAGATGTTCTACGGAAATGGTAAAATAAAATATAAATTGCAAAGTAAATTACTGAAAATTTATTCTGGAGAAGAAGAAGGTGGATAAAGAAGAAACAGAAAATTCAGAATAGCTATGTGATGAAGCGTCAATGGTTAGGGTAATGAAGAGTGACTTAGTTGAAATAGTTGTATATTTACCTATAAACTATCCAGTATGAAAGAGAAGAAAGGCAAGGATTCATTAGATTAAAAGAAAATATAGATAGTAAACATTTCTTAGCCAATGCTTCACATGGCAATTATTTACCAGATCAGAAAGCTATAGACCCAGCATAAATGAAATGTAAGGCTCTTGTTGCCAAGACTATTTGAATTGTTCATTGTTAATGGGGAAGAGTTGGTAATATATTAGGCATCTTGTCACTTTAATGATGGAATCTATAAACTTCGGAGATCAAAAACAAGTTGCTACATAATATATTTTTCTTCTAGGTAAGGGAACGACTAAGGGTTTCCTTAGAAAGAGTCTCAGCGCTTGAAGAGGAACTAGCAGCTGCTAATCAGGAGGTAAAAACATTTTTTGTGTTAATTCTAAATGAGATCAAACATTTTTTTTAAAAAAATTAATTTTCTGGAAATATAAATGTAATTTATAATGAATACATTAATTTATAGAAATACTTGTTTTATTGAGGTCATCTAATTACAAGCAATTGTGCTATGATATGTACTTTCTATTGGGTGTGGTCTGAGTAACAGCATATTGACTTAGAAAACTGAATGTTGACTTGAAAGTTTAAAGATTCTAGAGCAATGTGAGCATCATTGTAGAAAAATTTGGTTTTGAATGTGTTTATGGTATACAAGCTACATGTGCCAGAACAGATCATTGCTGCCCTCATCCTTAGCAAGGAATGCTGCATGATTCCTATTAAGCAATGCCATGATGAGCATTGATGCCAATATTTGTAGACTTACCCATTGATTATCATTGCACATGGGAAATTGTGCCTTGGAATGTAAGAAGTGATAAAAAGAATAAATAAATAAATGAAAGTATAGTATAGTTGATGAATACATTTAGGGCAATAGTTTAGATTTGAATAAACTTTCTAAAATGTACAGAATTACGTATGAACTTTCAAGTTGTGAGCTTTCAACAAACAAACAAACCTGTTTGCAACTCCAACCTAGAAAGTTCTGGAAGTCGGGAAAAGGCAGAAAAGGGTTAGTTTATGGTGTGCTGCACACTATGCTTGGCAGCAATATCACCCAAGCCTCCAATTTCCATAGATTGGGTGGATAAGAAAAAAATACATTGAGCCATGCATGAGCCTGGGACCACTGAGAAAGGCAGTTCATACCCATCTCTCCCTAAACATCCTTAGAAAGATTTGCATAGGGAAATGAGGCAGCGCAAGAATGGCTGATAGGACCAGAATGCACCTCATCCCTCTGCCTGTTGAGGCAGTGAAGCAGTGATGCCTGGTTGCCTTGCCAGTGGCCCTTCTCCAATGAGGGTCACAATGGCTTATGGGACAACTGGCCTGGCTTGGGAGTAAGGGGCAAGAGGAAGCCAAGGCAGTCATTACTGTTCATAGGGCATAGGGGTTAGGGCACATTTTTTTATGATTGTTGGACTTGCAAACAGACTTATAACAAAATATTGGAATGTAACACATTCATAAAAACAGCACTGAAAGTATGTTTCCATTGGTGCCCTCTAGTCTAGACCAGGGCATTTCAACCGGTGGTACGCATACCACTTGTAGCAGGTGGTACACAGCCCTGTCTAGCCAAGTGTAGAGGGGGAGGGAAAGAGCCAGCACGAGCAAGGACTTATTGTGAGAGAGTCCTCTGGAGCTGCAGAGTGGCTGAGGTGAGAGGCAAAGACCCAGGCTCACTTCTGGCTCACCCTCCCCCATGAGAAAGGAAGAGGAGGGGGGCAGAAACAGGAGAGGCTATAAAAGGAGGCAGCTTGGGCAGGAGAGGGAGAGAGAGAAAAAGAAGCAGTCTTGGGAGGAGGTGGAGTCAGCTCTAGCTGCACCGAAGGGAAAGATGAAGGAGGAGGAGGATGGGAGGAGAGGAGATCAAGCAGACTGGCCATGAGCCAATCTACAACTGCTATGGCAGCCACCTGTGCTTGCAGCAGCAAACAGATAAGAAATGCAGTGGGGGAGGGGTCACCCTCCAAGAGGAATGAAAAAAGGCAGCAATGGCTGGAGGTGAGGCATGAGGGAGGGAGGGAAATGGAGAGTGGAAGGATTCTTATGTGCTTTTGTGACTTTGAAGTTCTAGGATTTGTGCAATGTGGGCTTTGTGTTCTTAAGGAGTGTTTGGCAATTTCTATTTGGCTGATGTCACCTGTTAGCTTCTATTGCTCTGTATTGTTAGCTGTAAGTTTTGCTGCAAAGGATTTTGAACTAATTTTCTCCTGAATGGATTTTGCCTGTAGCATTCCTTTACTTATGAATGGAGCCATTTGGGGAGGCTGCCTTAGCTGGCAGCCAAAACTTACTACATTTTTTTTTCTTCCTTAAGTGCCGGCTGCCGGCTGCGCTCAACTTTCCTTTCTAGCCAGTAACTAATTCTTAAAGGGGAATGTGCCTTTTTAAGCTAGTTCACTCAGCAGTTTGTCTTTTCTGTCTCTGGAGGCTTTTCCTTGTTTGATGAATATATGGAAGAGAGAAAATATGGCGGAGGTTCAAATTCTTCCTTCAGGAGGGAAGTCCCACCTTAGCACTTGGCCACCAGCAGCCCTGCCATTGACTTTGCTTGTCAAAAGGTTGCAAAAGGGGATCACATGACCCTGGGACACTGTGACCATCATAAATATGAATCAGTTGCCAAGCATCCAAATATAAATCACATGACCCTGGACATGCTGCAGTGGTCATAAGTGTGAAAAATGGTCATAAGTCATTTCAGTGCAATTGCAACTTTAAACAGGTTTTGGGTTTTTTTTTGGTCATTAAGTTTTTGACACCTTGCTAAGTGGTACTCAAATATTGCCATATCCTAAAAGTGGTACAATCGGTGAAAAGGTTGAAAAGCCCTGGTCTAGACTACTCTGGGTGTGAAAGTAGAAACTCATAGGATGGTGGTAGTTGCATGTTACGCTCCAGTAATAATGTTAATGGGAGAGCCATAGATGAATTTGGTGAATAAACTGTGCAACATTCTGAATGAATGGAATCTAGAATATTAGGTGACATGAAAAGCTACAATAGATGCAAGCATGACTAAACATACAGAAAAAAATGAGTGGGCCATTTAAAAATCCAGTAATGAATTAAAGCAGTATTTATTGACTCTCTGCTTAGGAAAAGGTCTGTTCTGAATATGGGTTTTTAGTCTATGATTATCCATATGTGCACATGGAAAAGGACAGAATAGATAATTAAAAGAGGTAAAGAAAATGCAACACGTTTCAATAACTGTTGTATGTTATTCAAAAAGGTACAAGAGATTACAGTGAGCAAAAAAAGCTCCATAAGGAATACTTGGTGGTGACTTTAGAAGTGTGTTTAGAGGATGCAAATGTCCTTGTATTTTTTATTGTAGATTATGTCATGTTCAAGAATTCAAACTATAACAAATATTAAGTAGATTGATGTAACTGGGAATATGGATTACAAATTATTATATATTGGTCAAGATAACTTTGTTTGACAGAGAAAATGGGCTGAATAAATGACAAGAAAAAATAAAGCAAGTAAATGAATTGTGGCACCTTGATAAAATGTTTACTGAACTTGAAAAAAATGGAGAGATATAAGATATCAAAATATTTTTTAAAATGAAACATCAAATAAATCCACTCAGAGTTTTTACTTGGATCATAAATGACTAGCTCAAATTACTTTGGACACATTATGTGAAGACCCAGCTCTTTTAAGAAGACCATAATTCTGGGAAACATGGAAGGAAAGGGAAAAAAAACCTGACCTGGAGTAACTTCATCATCACAAGACCCATCACAAGCCTCTTCTGATGACTCAGCACAAGCCCCTTACTTGACACACCCACACCTAAAGCCCTTATAAATAGAAAAGCACTGACATAGACATCCCCTAAACACCGCTTAAGATGTTACCTAAGAAACCTTCACCCTCAAAATAGCATGCCTCTAGCCAATTTATTGTATCGAAGTAAGAACTGGGTTTGTCAGGAGAAAGATAAATACAAGTTTAATGTATAATTCTGAATTTTAAGTCAATGAGGTAAATCAAGAATGAACAAAGTAAAATGAATGGGTTCCTTTAGTCCTTTATGTATGTCATAAAGAGAATGAACAAGGATCATATTACAGAACAAGTGTCTGAAGAAAGAATCAATGTATTAAGAGGAAGAGAGATCTGAGAAAGTAGTGGTTAGTGTAATGAACAAAATTCTGAAAAATAGGCAGGTGAAAAGTTTAAAAGCAGAAAAGGAACACATGAATTGGTGTAAGGACATGCTAGAAGCAAGGATAGTTTGCAAGAGTAGAAGGGTATAAGTATAGTGAATTGTATTGTCATAGATTATATTTCTTTTCCCTTTCTCTTATTTTATGCCTTTAATTTCTTTTTTATTATTTCTTATTCCTTTTCTGTACTTGGTATAATGTTGCTTACCTCAGAAGGAAACACCATAATGGTAATGTACTATGGCCTATATACTATATTATACACTATAACTATGTGTATACTGTATGTTTGCCATGAGTTGTAATATTCATGTGTCTTTAGAATGTACAGAAGTCAAAAGAATAATTTTGACTCTAACATTTAAAAAAATGTAAGTTATGTTCAAAATTTTGTACATTTTCTGCAGCATTACTCTCACCCATGTAATAAGTTATTGATTAGTTACTCACCCAGATTTTAGGTAATGCAGCCAACTGGCATCAAGGCTGGGCATGAAAGGGCAACGGATGCAATTATAGGGTTTGAGACAGAAGCTAAAAAGAGCTTCATAATTCCACCATTGTGCTCAGAATTGGTCAGGGAATATAGAAATAATTGGTCTGCCCCAAACAAGAAAAAGATAAATTTTAGGGAGCTTAAAAATAAATCCTCCAAAAACAAGCCAGTATTACTTATCATAATTTAAGGCCACCTCCTTCACTTGTAAAAGATAAAAGCAGTAACATGCAGGGATTTGCTTAGTTTGCCCATAGAATTGTCCATAGAATTGTTCAGTACAAGAAAGGTACATAGGAGGAATGCTCTGTCTGAACATTAATTTTCACTTGCAGCTTCCTTCCCTAAAGAATCATTTCCTAAAACATTTCTTTGTTTCTGTGGGGAATAAAGCTGTAATAGCACTCATAGAAAAAGTTCAGGGAAATTTATCTTGCAGAAAATAAGCTGAACTTAATGCTAATTTATAAATTAAATTTAGCGAGATTTGCAAATCAGTTTCCCCAAAGATACTGTTTCTTTTATAAAGCAGTTGCATAGAAAATTATTATTTAAAATTAGTTAAATTATTTTACCCTATATATTAGTTAGGAAGGACTCTATTGGAACATTTTTTAAAACAGTTGTATGAAATTATTCCCTTTGCATATGATTGAGTAGCTG